AAAGTAATTTGGTGAGTTTTGGTACTGGAAAATTTAAACCCATGCGTGGTGGCCCAAGTGGAAACACAGTCGACCGCATGCTGGAGAGAAACTGCAATGAGATGACAGTCAGCGCCTGCACAAGCAATAGCGAAGTCATTAACATAGAGTGATGACCAAATATTGGGTGGAAGAACAGAGGCCAAATCATTTATAGCAAGGAGAAAAAGTGTTGTGCTCAGAACACATCCCTGAGGGACACCTTCAGCTTGGGCGAAGTCCGGGGAAAGCACATTATTGACTCGAACACAGAAGTGTCTGTCAGTTAAGAAGTTCTTAAGGAAGGATGGTAGATTGCCTCAGAGGCCTAAGGAGTGGGCTTGGGCCAGAATATTATACCTCCAAGTTGTGTCATATGCCTTCTCAAGGTCAAAAAATATGGCAATAACTGAGTGATTATTCGCAAAGGCATTACGAACATACGTATCCAAGCGTAGTAAGGGGTCTATGGTAGAACGGCCCTTACGAAAGCCATATTGACTAGCGGAGAGACTGTTGTGTCTCTCTAAATACCACATTAAACGTTGATTTACCAGACGTTCCATCACTTTGCAAACTGCACTAGTAAGAGCGATGGGACAATAGTGGGAGGCATCATGTCCTGTAGTACCCGGCTTGCGGAAAGGGAGAACAATGGCAGATTTCCACAGCTGGGGAAAAACTCCTTGTGCCCAAATAAGATTGAAGAGGTGTAAGAGGACTACAAGGGTTGATTGATGTAAATGTTGTAACATACGAATATGAATGTCGTCAGGCCCAGCTGCCGATGATCAGCAAGCTGAGAGTGTTGCCTCCAGTTCCTGAAGTGTAAAATGCACATTATACTGTTCTTCTCTGAGAGAAGAAAAGTCCAAGGGTACTAACTCTCTGGCAGACTTTGAGGAAAGAAACGAGGGACATAGATGGAGCCCCCGGGAAATACGGACCAGATGAGTGCCAATTTCAACGGCAACATCAAGAGGGTTTGCTACATCAATACCGGCGACCCGTAGAACAGGAGCCGGGTCAGGAGAGTATTTACCACTCAATTTCCTCACTTCTTTCCAGACTGCACTCATAGAGGAAGCAGAGGTGATGGTGGAAACATAGTTTCGCCAACAAGTGCGTTTAACATCACGGATGACACGGCGAGCGATCGCACGCTTCTGCTTAAAATCAAGAAGTCTCTCATTGGTTCTATTGTATCGGTACCTGCCCCATGCAGTGCGTTTCAAACGTACTGCACGAGCACAAGCAGGAGACCACCAAGGCACGCACTTCTGAGAATGCCTGCCTGAGGTTTGGGGTATAGAATGAGAAGCTGCGGTATAAACTGACGTCGAGAAGAGGTGTAGGAGCTCATCAATGGAGGATGAAGAAGGAACCTCACTAAAAGCAGTGAGTTGCGAGTAAAGGTCCCAATTTGCCCGATCAAATTGCCAGCGAGGGCTACAGAAAGGTGGTGAATATGAAGGAGAAGTAAGAATGATTGGAAAATGATTGCTGTCATGTAAGTCCAGTAGAACAAACCAGGTGAAGTCTAGTGCAGTGGAGGAAGAGCAGACTGATAGATTCGATGCAAGAGAGAGTATAGTATGAGGATCAAAATGGGTGGGAAAGACCCGTATTTAAAACATGGAGGGGGAGAGGCGAGAAAAGCCTCCAACTGGATGCCACGTGAGTCACAATGAGACCCCCCCCCCCAGAGGAAATGGTGGGCATTAAAATCACCAAGTAACAGAAGTGGTGATGGTAAGGATGAAACTAGAAGGGCAAAATCTGGGATAGAAAATGCTCGAGAAGGAGAGAGATAAAAGAACATATTGTAAACACTTATTCAAGTGGATACGGGCTACAGTGTAATGCAGCGAGGGTGGGACAAATAGTTGACAGTACGGAATATCATGCGTAGAAGAAGGGCCACTTTCATTAAAGGTCCCATCTGAGAAAGGATCCGAAGAATACAATAAATTATAGCCTGGATAGGTTGGAAAACAGCTGAGTGTTTAAATTTTTGGTTCTTATAAGCAAGCACCAACAGGGGAAAAACCTAGAAAGCAACATCTGAAGCCCCACCCCGATTACCCCCGAGGGCCGGATATTCCACTGTAAATAGGCCATGATTGGCAATGAAGAAAATACCAGGAAACCATAGGGAAGGGCACCTATGGACTAGAGGGGTTTTGAAAAGTTTAACATGTGGTGGCATTGGAAACGTTCAAGCAGCGAAGGAACGGAGTGTTGCGAAGAATGGGGTTGTGAAGATGGAGGAGAGGGAAGAGAAGGAACAGGAGGTGAATCAGTGTCCATTGAAGGTTTAGTCTCTGTAATATATTCTGAAATGGCTTCAAGTGTTTCTGAATTCAAAGATGTATGGGAGACCATATTGGAGGTAGCAGGAGGAGGGTGAGTAAAGATTGGGACAGTAATGGACTGTACCAAAGTAGAGGGGGAGGGAAGAGTGTAAGGTACTGGAGATGAAGTGTGGGGGGGGACAGAAGAGGCAGAAACCTGGGAGGTGGCAGAAGAGGGAAAAAACTTGGGAGGGGACGGGGGGGGAGGCATAGTACGAAGAGGAGGGTGAACCTCCACACTTTAAAGAGCCAGAGAGAGAAGGAAAACTAGGGACAGACACTGGAAAGGTAAAGTGTGGAGGTGGAAGAAGGGAAGGAAGGGGCAAAGAAGATTTGAGCAATGTGGATTTTTTGGACTTCTGAGAAGTAGAGGGGTGATTGGTATAAGGTGTCGTACGAGGTCTTGTTGATACTGGGGCTTGTGAGGAAGGACGCGAAGATGTGAGAACAGACTTGAGTTGTAGTCGGGACGTCAGAGCCAAGGACAGCAAAAGGATTAGATGCCGAAGTGGCTATGGGAGGGGTAACAACAGAGGAGGCTGCAGAAAATGGGACCCCAGAAGTGGGGGGATGGTTTGAAACACGAGAATAAGAAACACGGGGTAATCTTCCTTGGAGGCGGAGATGAGTAACTGCCATAGCATAAGGGAGACCTTCTGCCTCTTTGAGGCAACGGATTTCACACTCATTTAAGTAGACCTGGCAACGGCGGGAGTACGAAGGGTGAGCTTCATTACAATTAAGGCAAGATGGAGGTTGACTGCAAGATGTATTAGAATGGTCGTCGGCACCACAGACTGGGCATTCGGCTATAGATCTGCAATATTTCGCTGGGTGACCAAAACGGCAGCAATTTCTACACTGTTGCGGTGTAGGGATCACCTTTCGAACTTGTAACCTATGTCCCGTGACATAAACAGAGGACGGGAGTTCTTGGCTGTCGAAAGTTAATCGAGCCACATTGCAAGGGTAACGTCTCCGCCCATGGGCAGGAAGGACATAAGCGTCGACTTTGAGGATTGGGAGATCCTGGAGTTCCAGCAGTTCAAGAATGTCATTGCCACATGACTGGAAATTCTGTTGGACTATGGTATGGGGCAGAATGACGGTACCACTACAAGAATTGAGAGAAAGATGTTTTTCAATAGTGATAGGAGTAGTATTGATATGCAAAAGGAGAGAAAGATCATGAGCTTGGGTAGCATTCTGTACAGTGACGATGCGCGTACCGCTCTCGAGAGCATGAAATGAAATATCTCTACCAACATGACGTAGGAGCGCTTTGCCAATACTATGGTCAGATAGGCAGAAGAAGAAGTCGGTCTTAAAGTAAAGAATTTAGTCCATTGTGTGGTCCGAAACTGAGCATGGAGAGGGAGTGCATGACGTGTCAGTCTTTTCCAAGTAGAATGGGAAGGTAACGAAGGAACACCATCAGGAGATTGACGTTGGCGTTTAGGAGTAGGACCGGAGTTGGTCCGTCGTGAAACGGGCTGGCGATTCAAAAATTGCCGTACCATAGAGGGAGAGGCCGGAAGCATAGTCAAAGGAGAGCGGAGGTCAGACAAATCGAAGGAGTCAGTCGAAGCCCCGGTACCTGAAGCGGGTGAGGAAACAGCACCAGCAAGAGGTACAGGGGCATCAGGAGTGTCCGAAGAGTGGTCGAAAAACAAGGCAGGGTCAGAATGGGGTGCGGTATCGAGAAGGGGCCCGGGGGTAGTGGGTTCATGGATTGGGTTCTCCATGGTTAGGTTACTCCTTTGCTTTTTGTTTTTAAGAAAAAAAAGAAAGAAGAAAAGAAAATAAAAATAAAAAAAGAATAAAAAAAGGGGGGAGTGGGGAGGAATAGTTCCCAGGAATGAAAGGGCCGGAAATCTCCCTCCACGCCTAAGAGGACCTCAGCACCGCTATTAGCGCAGATGCAGCATGGAACCCGTGCCATACCCTTCATGCCAGCAAACCAGCAATCCGGGATAGCAACCTCACATCTGCCGAGCTACCTCGGTGGACAAAAGAGAGGGCGGCCGGATATCCGCCACAAAGCATACCTCCTTCGGCCACCACCCCCGGAATCCGAAAGGTGGCTTCCAGAGATACACCCGTTGCCCGAAAGACACCCATGGCTACACTCCGGGAGACTGGAGAGGGATCGGGACATCCCCAGGCGATCCAGATTTCACAGCAAACTACGCCATCGCCAAGAACCTCAACGGAATGGGATGGACCCTGGTATCCTTTCCCCTACCTAGGAACTAGCGTGCCTGTGGGAGAAATCCCAAAGGCCAAAAAGAGGAAGGGTAAAAGGGAGGGGTGGGGAGGAGGAGGAAGAAAGGAAAAAGGGGAGGATGGGATAGGGGGGTAATTAGGTTCGGTCTGATTATTATTATTATAATCAAGGGGGAAGCGCTAAACCCGGAGGATTATACAGCAGGTTCGGTCTGAGGAAGGAGACCGACAAGTCTAATTCCTCAGACCAAGAGCCTCTTCACCACAACAAGGAGCCCCCCTTGAAGAGGTTTTGTGGAAGAAACACTGCAGGTATGCATGGCATATAAGATTGTTTACTCTAATTTAGCCCTGGATAACTCTCATGAGTTTAGCACTTTTTGGGAATATAATAATGCATAGTATAACAGAAATCTTTATTATAAAGAATTATATATTTACAAGTTATTTTTATACATAAAATATTTATATTAAAATCATGGGTATAAAATCTAATATGACTAGTAGCACTAATGGCTTATATAAGTTACCATAATTTTTTTTATTTTTTAACACAATGGCTGTCTCCCACCAAGGCAGGGTGACCAGAAAAATAAGAAATATAATTCTTATCTTCTCTAATTAGTCAAGATACTTGATCATAATCATTTTAAATATACACAAATTGTGATACAAACTCACTCTTCAGAAAACACTTCATGAAGACAAACCGAATATTTTAACTGGCATTCTGTTTTTTTTTTTATTTCACTTGATTAAAAAATGGTACACATTCCTTAATGACAAAGAAATATGCCTCATTTTTAGTAATTATATTTTCTTTTAAGCTTCACACAAAAGGACACAAATGAAATCCCAGATATTAAAAATTGTAAAAGTCAAGATGAAAAATTATGCAAGATCAAAATCACTAGCATCATAGTCCTCAGACAGATTAAAACCAAAGCAAGACCTGACAAACTGTTTACAAGGGTTCTAAAGGGATTTAGAGAAACTTAGTAAACCATTAACTAGTTTCTTAAACACTACACTACAATCACTACAAACTGGTTTCATACCAGATAAGTGGAAAATGGCATACATGATACTTATATACAAATCAGGTGATCAGTCCTTAGCTTCAAATTGTAGGCAAATTAGTCTAACTTCAATTATAGGAAAGTTGATGGAATCAATAACTGCAGACAATATTCAAAGCCACCTTCAAAAATGCAATTTGATCTATGAATCTTGGCATGGTTTTACAAAGAGATGTTCATGCCTTGCAAATTTATTAGCCTTTTCTATATTTTTACTAAAATATTTGAGGCATTAGACCAAGATAAAGTATATGGTAATGTGCTTATGGATTTCAGTAAGGCATTTGATAAGAGTTCCACACACAAGAATATTAAAGAAAGCAGCAGTACACAGAATAGGAGAAATCTCATGGAATGAGACACTGGTTGACCGAAAGGGAACAGAGCCTTTACCAGTGGTGTTGAACAGGGTCAGCACTGCACCCAAAGTTGTTCACAATATACATAAATGACAGGGGGGGGGGAGAGAATAAATAACAACATAAGCAAGTTTGCTGATGACACCAAAACTTGCTGTGGTGGTCGGAGAAGTGGCAGATACAGATTAATGTAGACAAATGGAAGCATCTAATCCTGGGAAAAGAAAATAACTATGGCACCTATAAACTAATTGATGTGTAGATCCCAATTAAGCAGAATCCAATAGTTTTAGGAATTCTATTTAGCAATAATTTAAAGCCAAGGCAATAGTGCATAAGTGCTTGCATTAAAGCTAATAGAATTCCAGGCTTCATATCAAGAAGCATAAATAATAGAAGTCCTCAGATTATACTTCAACTTTAGATATCTTTCGTAAGGCCTCGTTTAGATTATGCTTCTTAATTCTGGTCTCCATATTAGAGAATGGATACAAATATGTATGCTGAAAAAATCACACAGAAAAGAATGAAGTTGCTCCACTGTATCAGAAAACTCATGAATATTTGCAACCTCTGAAGAGGTAAGGAATTAAATGGATATGATTAAAATGTGCAAATGGAACATGACTCATGGCAATGGATTCACAGTGAACAAACTTAAATTTAGAAGATAGATTTTCAGTGAACCAAGAAATTTGGGTAGATTGAAAAACCAGGTTGGACAAGTACATCAAGTGGGTGTGGGTGGATAAGAGTTGAACCAGCTAAGCATGGCCCAATAGGCCTATTACAGTGTTCCCCCATTCTTATCTTTTTATATGGAGGCAAAAATATTTAGTTTATCTTGTAGATATTTTTTCCAAAGAGATGGTGTATATCACATTGACTAGTAAACTAATGTACTTTGTTTTCATACACAAAAATATACCATGTTCTATAAACACCGAAGATGAAAAGAAGAGTACCAGAAAATCTTAGTAGTTAATGGTGCTGTCAATAAGTACATTTCAACAAGCTTAGTGAACATACAGCAATTAGTGATGTAAGATAATATGTAAACCTCAATTGGGTGTTGAGCATAAAAACCTACACTGAGGTTTCATATTACTGTTTCTTGCAAATTTTTTATGGACTAGGCTCCTAGCAGAAGCAAGGTTGCTTCTCAGAACAGGTAGAACTAGTAGATTATTTATGAATTTATTAGTGCTAGTCCTAGTCTCAGGTGAAAGCACATCCCTTCTAGAGCTGACAATCCTGGTGATCATACTGCCACTCTTGAGCATAACCTTTGGTAATTTTTTCATTAGTGATGAATATATGGTTTGGTGTCAAAGTGCTTGTGAATTTCTTGAATGAACAGGTAATCAAGATTGATAGAATCCTATAATGTATTATTAGTGGTTAAAATTATTTGTTACTCATTAGCATATTGTAAACTGATAAGAACACTAAGACCCTTGTGAGTTTAGCACTTAGTTATAATAAGAATAATAATAACTGATAAAGTCTATTCAATTTATAATAGTCACTAATGGTGTATTAACTCTGCATGTTTTCTTTTAAAAAGAAAACAATGCCCATTTTCTCTAGATGGAATTAATGATATACTGTGTCATCAAACACCAACTTCCCTAGGCTTTACTTGAGTTTATTAAATAAGTTTTTATTTAGGTTATGAGTAAATAACATACATGTCATGATCAACATTCGATGACACCTATAAGATAATAAAAATTTAATATTTTTTGATAAAACAAGTACCTAAAAAACTTTACTTTATAGGTGTTATGAACATAACCCCTTTTTTCAGATATATCATTCACATTACATAACATGAAATTGCAAAGCATCAATTTCAGGAACATAATAACCCTTGCGCTGTACAAGATTTCACTATTGTATCTTTTCTTATTTACTATGAAACAATCTGTTTTCAATTACATGAGGCATTTAACAAAACTTAAATATTGTTTTCAGTAAATTTAAGCTATATAGTTTCAGCCAACATTTTCTTTTTTAAATACACCAGCTGTCTCCCACTGGGTCAGGGTAACCCAAAAAAGAAAAAAGTCACTATCATTAAAGGAAATATATAGAAAATATTTTTATTTATTATCACACTGGCCGACTCCCACCAAGGCAGGGTGGCCCGAAAAAGAAAAACTTTCACCATCATTCACTCCATCACTGTCTTGCCAGAAGGGTGCTTTACACTACAGTTTTTAAACTGCAACATTAACACCCCTCCTTCAGAGTGCAGGCACTGTACTTCCCATCTCCAGGACTCAAGTCCGGCCTGCCGGTTTCCCTGAACCCCTTCATAAATGTTACTTTGCTCACACTCCAACACACTAAACAAATAAATAGCAACATAAGCAAGTTTGCTGATGACACCAAAACTTGCTGTGGTGGTCGGAGAAGTGGCAGATACAGATTAATGTAGACAAATGGAAGCATCTAATCCTGGGAAAAGAAAATAACTATGGCACCTATAAACTAATTGATGTGTAGATCCCAATTAAGCAGAATCCAATAGTTTTAGGAATTCTATTTAGCAATAATTTAAAGCCAAGGCAATAGTGCATAAGTGCTTGCATTAAAGCTAATAGAATTCCAGGCTTCATATCAAGAAGCATAAATAATAGAAGTCCTCAGATTATACTTCAACTTTAGATATCTTTCGTAAGGCCTCGTTTAGATTATGCTTCTTAATTCTGGTCTCCATATTAGAGAATGGATACAAATATGTATGCTGAAAAAATCACACAGAAAAGAATGAAGTTGTTCCACTGTATCAGGCACTGTACTTCCCATCTCCAGGACTCAAGTCCGGCCTGCCGGTTTCCCTGAACCCCTTCATAAATGTTACTTTGCTCACACTCCAACACACTAAACACACTGATGGCATTACCAAAACAAATATATTAAGGGCCATCACACCTTGATCTAGTCTGGTGGCTAACTTTGAAGCAAAACCACAATTTTTTTTTAGATTTTACAAATGTGATTTCTTTAAATTTTCAAGTTGAGTTTTTGAAATGTATTTAAAAAAATTATACATTGTAGAAGAGGTCCTGGCCCTCATGTTTATGGATTAACAGTGTCCTTTATATAATACTTTTATAGTACTTAAACCATGTAGGCTGAAAACTTCTAATTAAAATATAATTTTAACAGTGACTTAACCCTTGATGTGCCTAGTGTTTATTTAAATTCCTTTACATACAATGCAGTCAATCATACATAAATTAAACAGGTAGAAGCTGAATCACTGGCATAACTGGATACAAGACATTTGTTAGAAATGCACCGAGAGTTTACCAATCTTCCAGCATATAAAGAACCATACCCATAATACTGAATGAGAACATACTCCTATCAGATATGGAACAAATTGCATATACATGTGTAAAATCCTCAAGACAGTTATGTTTGCTTCAGAACCCATTTTAACATCTCACAAGGCCTGTGGAGGCAATACCATAATTACCCTTGCCCTAAATTACTTGTTTATGCACATAAGTTTGTTCACCTGATTTACACCATGCAACTTTTGTCAGGTGAGATTTAATGAACTTTTAATTTGTACACTTTTTAGTGCTAAAAAGAGTTTCACTGGTAGGCCAAAATATATATTCTTAAAATCTTTAATTTTAACCATGCAAGTTTGTACCATAGACAAGTGTTAATAGCACTTCTGTGTTTGGATATGGTACTGAAATTGACTAATTTGCCTTGAGAGTATTTATATTATCCTCTCACTAATAAGTGTTTCATGCACATTGTAACTAAAGAGTTATAAACTGATTTAATACTTGGAGGTCCCTGGGATAAACACTTAAAACTATTGACAAACTTCTCAGCTTTGGATATTTTCTGCAATGTATTATATACATAGCATGAAGAACAAATAATAACTGCAGTATTGACATTTTGTTGAAAAATCTAAAATTTGTATTTTCTCTTAATTAACTTACAAAAATAATTATTAAAGGATAATTACTAGCAAGATGAGTCAGATATTGATGGTAATTATGATGATTATAATACAATAATACTAACAAGTAACAAAAAACAGTTAGATCATGATAACAATGTTGAACAAAATGATACAAGAACATTATTAAAAAACTTACGCTTATTATGTAAGACGCGCTCAACATCGCACAGAAGTGGTACAAGATCATAACTCTGGGTAGTATTTTAGTAATGAACATGTCAGAAAATACCACTGCCCCACTACAGTATCACTGTATGCATCCAGTTATAACTAAATGATGTTAGTCATCTGGAGGACGAAACATCTGAAACAGATGAAAGAAAAGTTAAATGAAATTCTAACTAACATTTTGAGTTTAGTAAAATAGGGCACTTAACTTTCTTACAGCAACGTATTTATAATCAAGTTAAGAAAGCCTAGAGAATGAATGGATTTGTCAGTTAAAAACAGAGTAGGGGAGTTAGTAGATGGGGAGATGGAGGATTTGGGTAGATGGTGAGAATATTTTGAGGAACTTTTAAATGTCGACGAAGAAAGGGAAGCGGTAATTTCATGCACTGGCCGGAAAGAGGGGAAGGTACCTAAGGGATTGGCAGAGAGCATGTATAGTCCCTTTATATACAGGGAAGGGGACAAAAGAGATTGTAAAAATTATAGAGGAATAAGTTTACTGAGTATACCAGGGAAAGTGTACAGTAGGGTTATAATTGAAAGAATTAGAGGTATGACAGAATGTAGGATTGCGGATGAGCAAGGAGGTTCCAGAGTGGGTAGGGGATGTGTAGATCAAGTGTTTACATTGAAGCCTATATGTGAACAGTATTTAGATAAAGGTAGGGAAGTTTTTATTGCATTTATGGGTTTAGAAAAGGCATATGATAGAGTGGATAGGGGAGCAATGTGGCAGATGTTGCAAGTATATGGAATAGGTGGTAAGTTACTAAATGCCGTAAAGAGTTTTTCTGAAGATAGTGAGGCTCAGGTTAGGGTGTGTAGAAGAGAGGGAGACTACTTCCCAGTAAAAGTAGGTCTTAAATAGGGATGTGTAATGTCACCATAGTTGTTTAATACAGTGGTCCCTCGCTTTTCGTAGTTCTCGGCAATCGTAAATTTCGCCAATCATAGGGGTATTTTCGTATAAACATTGACTCGCTTTTCATAGGTTGACTCGCGAATAGTAGTTCGTCCGGGACGCGTACGCACGGTGTGAGCCGGGGAGGCCTCCCTACCCAGCCAGTCTGGCATTGTTTACCAGTGAGTAAAGGTCCCCTCAAGTGCTCCTACGAAATATTTCATAATATTCCACTCATTTTAGTGCTTGCAAGTACGTACTAAATAAGCTACCATGGCTCCAAAGAAAGCTCCTAGTGCCAAGCCTGTGGTAAAGAAGGTGAGAAATATGTACAGTGACAAAGTCTTGGGCCATTTTAGGGAAGTGTTAAAGAGACGCCAGAAACAGAGCTCTCTCCACAGTTACTTTGCGAGACAGGACTAGAGTGACTCAAGGTGGTCCTAGTGGCATTAAGAAACAGAGAAGAGAAGCAACCCCAGAGAAGCAATTGGTACCTGAGGTGTTGCTGGAAGTGGATTCCCCTTCCAAACTGTAAACAATCCAATCTCTCTCCTCCTCCAGTCCCCCATACACTAAGAAGAATCTCCAATAAAGGTAAGTGTTATGCTGTTAATGTTTCATTCATCATTTCCCATTGTATTGTTTATGTACTACATGTATATTTCATGTAAAAAAATTTTTTGTTTTAATACTTCTGGGTGTCAGGAACGGATTAATTGTATTTACATTATTTCTTATGGGGAAAATTGATTCGCAAATTGTAAATTTTGTTTATAGTAGCTCCTCCAGGAACGGATTAATTACGAAAAACGAGGGACCACTGTATATTTATAGATGGGATTGTAAAAGAAGTAAATGCTAGGGTGTTTGGGAGAGGGGTGGGATTAAATTATGGGGAATCAAATACAAAATGGGAATTGACACAGTTGCTTTTTGCTGATGATACTGTGCTCATGGGAGATTCTAAAGAAAAATTGCAAAGGTTAGTGGATGAGTTTGGGAGTGTGTGTAAAGGTAGAAAGTTGAAAGTGAACGTAGAAAAGAGTAAGGTGATGAGGGTGTCAAACGATTTAGATAAAGAAAAATTGGATATCAATTTGGGGAGGAGTATGGAAGAAGTGAATGTTTTCAGATACTTGGGAGTTAACCTGTCGGCGGATGGGTTTATGAAGGATGAGGTTAATCATAGAATTGATGAAGGAAAAAAGTGAGTGGTGCATTGAGGTATATGTGGAGACAAAAAACATTATCTATGGAGGAAAAGAAGGGAATGTATGAAAGTATAGTAGTACCAACACTCTTATATGGGTGTGAAGCTTGGGTTATGAATGCAGCAGCGAGGAGGTGGTTGGAGGCAGTGGAGATGTCCTGTCTAAGGGCAATGTGTGGTGTAAATATTATGCAGAAAATTTGGAGTGTGGAAATTAGGAGAAGGTGTGGAGTTATTAAAAGTACTAGTCAGAGTGCTGAAGAGGGGTTGTTGAGGTGGTTTGGTCATTTAGAGAGAATGGATCAAAGTAGAATGACATGGAGAGCGTATAAATCTGTAGGGGAAGGAAGGCGGGGTAGGGGTCGTCCTCGAAAAGTTTGGAGGGAGGAGGTAAAGGAGGTTTTGTGGGCGAGGGGCTTGGACTTCCAGCAAGTGTGCATGAGTGTGTTAGATAGGAATGAATTGAGATGAATGGTATTTGGGACCTGACGAGCTGTTGGAGTGTGAGCAGGGTGATATTTAGTGAAGGAAAACTGGTTATTTTTATATAGTCTGACTTGAGTCCTGGAAATGGGAAGTACAATGCCTGCACTTTAAGGAGGGGTTTGGGATATTGTCAGTTTGGAGGGATATGTTGCGTATCTTTATACGTATATGCTTCTAAACTGTTGTATTCTGAGCACCTCTGCAAAAACAGTGATTATGTGTGAGTGAGGTGAAAGTGTGGAATAACGATGAAAGTATTTTCTTTTTGGCGATTTTCTTTTTGGGCCACCCTGCCTCGGTGGGAGACGGCCGACTTGTTTAAAAAAAAAAAAAAAGTTTGACAAGAGGACCTAAAAAGTAAAGTGTATATAGTATTTACAGAATTTACTGAAGCAATAGAATACATATATGGTAATATTAAAAAGAAAAGTGTTATTAAACAAATTTAAGACAATAAGGCATAGATAAAATATAGCAATGTCAAGAGTTACTATGAAATAAAATGAAGCAGCTCACATGCTGTAATTCACAAAGTTCCAGATCTTGTGTATGAAGCCGAGCTCTTAGATACACAATTTCCTCTTCCTTTTGGGCCAGAATGGATTTCATCTCCAAGTACCTACTTCTAGCATTTCGTTCACTGGACTCTAGTTCATTTAGTTCATTGTCATATCTTTCTCTGAGATTCCTGAAAGAAAATATATTATCAATTAGATACCTATTTTATGCAATACATATGCAGAGTAAAAACTACACAGATCTGAACCATCAAAGCAGATACATACGAGCCTCTTGTGGAATTATGTTGGTAGGTAAGTAGGCCTTAGAGACATAATGTAACCATGGTTAAGAAATTTATAGATGGGGTTGTAAAACAAGTGAATGCTGGGGTGTTGGGAAAAGGTGAAAGATTAAATGATAATGAATCTAAATACTGTTCATATGTATGCTTCAATGTAAACACTATCTACCCATTCTAAAGTAGGGTTTAGAATAGGTAGGGGATGTGTAGATCAAGTGTTTACATTGAAGCATATATGTGAAGAGTATTTAGATAAAGGCAGGGAAATTTTCATTGCAATTATGGATTTACAAAAGGCATATGATAGGGTGGATAGGGGAGCAATGTGACAGATGTTGCAAGTATATAGAATAGGTGGTAAGTTACTAAATGCTGTAAAGAGATTTTATGAGGATAGTGAGGCTCAGGTTAGGGTATGTAGAAGATAGGGAGATTACTTTCCAGTAAAAGTAGGTCTTAGACAGGGATATGTAATGTCACCATAGTTGTTTAACATATTTATAGATGAGGGTTGTAAAAGAAGTAAATGCTAGAGTGTTGGGGAAAGGGGTAGAATTAAATTATAGGGAATCAAATACAAAATGGGAGTTGACACAGTTACTTTTTGCTGATGATACCATCTTTTGGTAGATTCTAAAGGAAAGTTGCAAAAGTTACTGGACAAGTTTGGGAGGGTGTATAAAGGTAGAAAGTTAAAAGTGGACATAGAGAAGAGTAAGGTGATGAGGATATCAAACAATTTAGATAAAGAAAAATTAGATATCACATTGGAGGGAGGGAGTATGGAAGAAGTGAATGTTTTCAGATATTTGGGAGTTGACTTGTCAGCAGATGATTTTAGGTAAGATGAGATTAACCATAGAACTGATGAAGAAAAAAAGGTGAGTGGTGCACTGAGGTATCTGTAGAGACAAAAAACATTATCCATGGAGGCAAAGAAGCGAATATATGAGAGTATAGTAGTACCAATACTCTTATATGAGTGTGAAGCATGGATTGTAAATGCTGCAGCAAGGAGGAGGCCTGAGGCAGTGAAGATGTTGTGTCTAAGGGCAATGTGTAGTGTAAATATTATGCAAAGAATTTGTAATGTGGAAATTAGAAGGTGGTGTGGAGTTACTAAAAGTATTAGCCAGAGAGCTGAAGAGAGGTTGCTGAGGTGGTTTGGTCATTTAGAGAGAATGGAACAAAGTAGAATGATTTGGAGAGTGTATAAATCTGAAGGCGGGGTAGAGGTCATCCTAGGAAGGCTGGAGTGGGGGGGCGGGTTAAGGGAGGTTTTGTGGGCGAGGGGCCTGGACCTCTAGCAAGCGTGCATGATTATGTTATATAGGAGTGAATGGAAACAAATGGTTTTTGGGACCTGATGAGCTATTGGAGTGTGAGCAGGGCAATATTTTGTGAAGAGTGTCAGGGAAACTGGTTAGCCATACTTGAGTCCTGGAAATGGGAAGTACAATGCCTGCACTTTAAAGGAAGGGTTTGGGATATTGGCAGTTTGGAGGGATGTGTAATATATCTTTATATATGCTTCTAAACTGTTGTATCTGGGCACCTCTGCAAAAACAGTGATTATGTATGAGTGAGGTGAAAGTGATGAATGATGATGAAAGTATTTTCGTTTTGGGGGATTTTCTTTCTTTTTGGGTCACCCTGCATAGGTGGGAGATGGCCAACTTGTTGAAAAAAAAAGTAAAAGAAGAAAACTAAAAGTAAACATAGGACAAAACAAAGTAATGAGAGTCAAATTAAATTTAGGTAATGAAAGAGTGGATATCAGATTAGAAAATATAAAGGAAGTAAATGTGTTTAGACATCGGAAGTGGACTTGTCAGCAGATAGGTCTATGAAAGATGAGGTGAACCATACAAATGATGAGGGAAAAAAGGTAGGTGGCCACTGAGGAGACAAAGAACCTTATCCCTGGAGGTAAAAAGGAAAATGTATAAGAGTATAGTGGCACCAACTGTTATATGATGTGAAGCATGGGTTTTGAACATTGTAGTGAAGTGGTGGTTTGAGGCAGTAGAGATGCCATATTTGAGGGCAATCTGTGGTGTGAATATTACGTAGACAATTCATAGCTTGAAGATTTGGAGAATGTGTGGGTTACCAAAAATATTATTCAAAGGACAGAAGTGGTGGGTGTTGAGGTGGTATGGACATAGAGAGAGAATGGAGCAAAACAGTGTAACTAGAAGGGTATATAAATCTGGGGTTGAAGGAAGGAGAGGCAGGGGTCATACCAGAAAGGATTGGAGTGAAGAGGTAAGGAAAGTTTTGAGTGCTATGGACTTGGATTTCCAATAGGCTCATTAGACAGGAGTGGAGGTAAATGGTTTTTATGATCTGACATGCTATTGATGCATGAGCAAAACAATATTTATGAAGGGCATCAGGGAAACCAGTCAGCCAGACTTGAGTCCTGGACATGTAAAGTACAGTGCATATACTCTGAAAAAGGGGTGGGGATGTTGCATTTCGGAAGGTTATCTGAACTGTGATGTCAGCATGCTTCTGGCAAGGTAGTAATTGAATAAATGAAAGCATTTCTTCTTTTCCAGGTCACCCTGTCTTGATGGGAGATGGCCAATGTTTAACCCTTAAACTGTCCAAACGTAGATCTACGTTTTTTCAACATTTGAAAGTATGTAAAAAAGTACATCTTTTTTTTTTTTACGTTCGAAAACGTGGAAAAAACACTTTGATTACGTTTTTTTTTTTGTTATATTTGAAAATATATAAAAAAGTAGACCTACTTTTGGAGCACTACGCGTATGAACGTAGATCTGCTTGGACAGTTTAAGGGTTAAAAAGAAAGTTAGTTGATAAAACCATAGGCCTTGCCTCATGAATTAACTCAGATGTGCGTAGGTGAGTGGTGTGTTGTGGTATATGTGGAGACAAAGAACATTATCTATGGGGGCAAAGAAGGGAATGTATGAAAGTATAGAGATACCAACACTCTTATATGGGTGTGAAGCTTGGGTTGTAAATGCTGCAGCGAGGAGGTGGTTAGAGGCAGTGTAGATGTCCTGTCTAAGGGCAATGTGTGGTGTAAATATTATGCAGAAAATTCGAAGTGTGGAAATTAGAAGGTGTGGAGTTAATAAAGGTATTAGTCAGAGGGCTGAAGAGGGGTTGTTGAGGTGGTTTGGTCATTTATAGAGAATGGATCAAAGTAGAATGACATGGAGAGCGTATAAATCTGTAAGGGAAGGAAGGCGGGGCAGGGGTCGTCCTCGAAAAGGTTGGAGAGAGGGGGTAAAGGAGGTTGTGTGGGCGAGGGGCTTGGATTTCCAGCAAGCGTGCGTGAGTGTGTTAGATAGGAATGGAGACGAATGATATTTGGGACCTGACGAACTGTTGGAGTGAGAGCAGGGTAATATTTAGTGAAGGGATTCAGGGAAACCAGTTATTTTATACAGCCAGACTTGAGTCCTGGAAATGGGAAGTACAATGCCTGAACTTTAAAGGAGGGGTTTTGGGATAATGGCAGTTTGGAGGGATATGTTGTGTATCTTTATACGTATATACATGTACCTCTAAACTGTTGTATTCCGAGCACCTCTGCAAAAACAGTGATTATGTGCGAGTGAGGTGAAAGTGTTGAATGATGATGAAAATATTTTCTTTTTTGGGATTCTCTTTCTTTTTGGGTCAACCTGCCTCAGTGGGAGACGGCCGACTTTTTTTTTTTAACAAGTGTGTAGTAGTGATGAAGCAGTCTAATGGTGTGCAGAAACTTTTCCTGTTAGTTCATTTTATACAAAGTGAAGATTTTTTTTTTATTAACATGTTTGCCGATTCCCACCAAGGCAGGGTGGCCCAAAAAAGAAAAACTTTCATCATCATTCACTCCATCACTGTCTTGCCAGAAGGGTGTTTTACACTACAGTTTTTAAACTGCAACATTCAGAGTGCAGACACTGTACTTCCCATCTCCAGGACTCAAGTCCGGCCTGCCGGTTTCCCTGAATCCCTTCATAAATGTTACTTTGCTCACACTCCAACAGCACGTCAAGTATTAAAAACCATTTGTCTCCATTCACTCCTATCAAACACGCTCACGCATGCCCGCTGGAAGTCCAAGCCCCTCGCACACAAAACCTCCTTTACCCCCTCCTTCCAACCTTTCCTAGGCTGACCCCTCCCCTGCCTTCCTTCCGCTACAGACTGATACACTCTTGAACTCATTCTGTTTCGCTCCATTCTCTCTACATGTCCGAACCACCTCAACAACCCTTCCTCAGCCCTCTGGACAAAAGTTTTGGCAATCCTGCACCTTCTCCTTACTTCCAAACTACGAATTCTCTGCATTATATTCACACCACACATTGCCCTCAGACATGACATCTCCACTGCCTCCAGCTTTCTCCTCGCTGCAACATTCATCACCCATGCTTCACACCCATATAAGAGCGTGGGTAAAACTATACTCTCATACATTCCCCTCTTTGCCTCCAAGGACAAAGTTCTTTGTCTCCACAGACTCCTAAGTGCACCGCTCGCCCTTTCCCCCTCATCAATTCTATGATTCACCTTATCTTTCATAGATCCATGCGCTGACACGTCCACTCCCAAATATCTGAATACATTCACCTCCTCCATACTCTCTCCCTCCAATCTGATATCCAATCTTTCATCACCTAATCTTTTTGTTATCCTCATAACCTTATTCTTTCCTGTATTTACTTTTAATTTTCTTCTTTTACATTTATTTTTTTTTTTATTATCACACTGGCCGATTCCCACCAAGGCAGGGTGGCCCGAAAAAGAAAAACTTTCATCATCATTCACTCCATTACTGTCTTGCCAGAAGGGTGCTTTACACTACAGTTTTTAAACTGCATCATTAACACCCTTCCTTCAGAGTGCAGGCACTGTACTTCCCATCTCCAGGACTCAAGTCCGGCCTGCCGGTTTCCCTGAACCCCTTCATAAATGTTACTTTGCTCACACTCCAACAGCACGTCAAGTATTAAAAACCATTCGTCTCCATTCACTCCTATCAAACACGCTCACGCACGCCTGCTGGAAGTCCAAGCCCCTCGCACACAAAACCTCCTTTACCCCCTCCCTCCAACCTTTCCTAGGCAGACCCCTACCCCGCCTTCCTTCCACTACAGACTGATACACTCTTGAAGTCATTCTGTTTCGCTCCATTCTCTCTACATGTCCGAACCACCTCAACAACCCTTCCTCAGCCCTCTGGACAACAGTTTTGGTAATCCCGCACCTCCTCCTAACTTCCAAACTACGAATTCTCTGCTTTATATTCACACCACACATTGCCCTCAGACATGACATCTCCACTGCCTCCAGCCTTCTCCTCGCTGCAACATTCATCACCCATGCTTCCACCCATATAAGAGTGTTGGTTAACTATACTCTCATACATTCCCCTCTTTGCCTCCAAGGACAAAGTTCTTTGTCTCCACAGACTCCTAAGTGCACCACTCACCCTTTTCCCCTCATCAATTCTATGATTCACCTCATCCTTCATAGACCCATCCGCTGACACGTCCACTCCCAAATATCTGAATACATTCACTTCTCCATACTCTCTCCCTCCAATCTGATATCCAATCTTTCATCAAACCCAATATTTTTGTTATCCTCATAACCTTACTCTTTCCTGTATTCACTTTTAATTTTCTTCTTTTGCACACCCTACCAAATTCATCCACCAACCTCTGCAACTTCTCTTCAGAATCTCCCAAGAGCACAGTATCATCAGCAAAGAGCAACTGTGACAACTCCCACTTTATGTGTGATTCTTTATCTTTTAACTCCACGCCTCTTGCCAAGACCCTCGCATTTACTTCTCTTACAACCCCATCTATAAATATATTAAACAACCACGGTGACATCACACATCCTTGTCTAAGGCCTACTTTTACTGGGAAATAGTCTCCCTCTTTCCTACATACTCTAACTTGAGCCTCACTGTCCTCGTAAAAACTCTTCACTGCTTTCAGTAACCTACCTCCTATACCATACACCTGCAACATCTGCCACATTGCCCCGCTATCCACCCTGTCATACGCCTTTTCCAAATCCATAAATGCCACAAAAACCTCTTTAGCCTTATCTAAATACTGTTCACTTATATGTTTCACTGTAAACACCTGGTCCACACACCCCCTACCTTTCCTAAAGCCTCCTTGTTCATCTGCTATCCTATTCTCTGTCTTACTCTTAATTCTTTCAATAATAACTCTACCATACACTTTACCAGGTATACTCAACAGACTTATCCCCCTATAATTTTTGCACTCTCTTTTGTCCCCTTTGCCTTTATACAAAGGAACTATGCATGCTCTCTGCCAATCCCTAGGTACCTTACCCTCTTCCATACATTTATTAAATAGTAGCACCAACCACTCCAAAACTATATCCCCACCTGCTTTTAACATTTCTATCTTAATCTCATCAATCCCAGCTGCTTTACCCCCTTTCATTTTACCTACTGCCTCATGAACTTCCCCCACACTCACAAAACTGGCTCTTCCTCACTCCTACAAGATGTTATTCCTCCTTGCCCTATACACGAAATCACAGCTTCCCTATCTTCATCAACATTTAACAATTCCTCAAAATATTCCCTCCATCTTCCCAATACCTCTAACTCTCCATTTAATAACTCTCCTCTCCTATTTTTAACTGACAAATCTATTTGTTCTCTAGGCTTCCTTAACTTGTTAATCTCACTCCAAAACTTTTTCTTATTTTCAACAAAATTTGTTGATAACATCTCACCCACTCTTCCCTCCTTGCATCACTTTTACTTTGTAAAAACTTCTCTTATGTTAACTTTTTCTCCCTTACTACTCTCTTTACATCATCATTCCACCAATTGCTCCTCTTCCCTCCCGCACCCACTTTCCTGTAACCACAAACTTCTGCTGAACACTCTAACACTACATTTTTAAACCTACCCCATACCTCTTTGACCCCATTGCCTATGCTCTCATTAGCCCATCTATCCTCCAATAGCTGTTTATATCTTACCCTAACTGCCTCCTCTTTTAGTTTATAAACCTTCACCTCTCTCTTACCTGATGCTTCTATTCTCCTTGTAGCCCATCTACCTTTTACTCTCAGTATAGCTACAACTAAAAAGTGATCTGATATATCAGTGGCCCCTCCATAAACATGTACATCCTGAAGTCTACTCAACAGTCTTCTATCTACCAATACATAATCCAACAAACTACTGTCATTTTGCCCTACATCATATCTTGTATACTTATTTATCTTCTTTTTCTTAAAATATGTATTACCTATAACTAAACCCCTTTCTATACAATCAAAGGGCTCCCATTATCATGTTATGGAAGTAGTTAAAATACCAAGAGCCACTGTTAAATGATTAATTAAACAATTAAACAATGCTTGCTAGAGTGTACTCAGAACACATGTCATAATGTATCACCATGTTTAATACTCTACTTTCACAGTTTTTTATAGATGTTTTCTTGCTCCCTGATAGTCATCTGTAGCAATTTAGAAATAAAAAGCTATTAGGTTTGATTCAAGGAAGGGCAGGATAACTCCATTTCCATGGATCAATAGACCTTCACCAGCATCAAGGGAACCCTTGGAAGAGGAAGTAGCATACAGAGCAGTCAGTGCCATCCTTCCTATCAAACCAGTCTTCATATTCAGTATCAGAGATATACGAAGCCTGTATTATACATCCAGGCACTGTGCTTGCTTTTAGTTATAATAATAATAATTACATAAATCATTATCTGATTTCTTATTTCCCACATTCATGAAATGGGGAGCACTCACCAAAATAAGGTGGAAAAATGAATAAAAGGTACAGTATTTCTATTCTGGATTGACACAATATTTCTTAATGCCTATTACACTCAAAAGCATCACAAAGTACCATGGCACTGTCAAAACACCCACTGTAGTATTTCATCCATTTTATAGATTAAGTGTAATAGTTCATGTTATCTATCAAAATTTTCCTTTCTTTATTCACTATCTGCTTCTGATGTCCTGTTTGTATCTAATTTGCTTATTTTGCTCATATTATACCATGCTTTCTCACACCCATACAATACAACTGCTGACCAACTCTTCAGTCTTCTTCTCTATTTGCCTATTCTCATTTCTGCTGTAGTATAAATTTTTCCACCCCTTACCATTACTTTACATTGGCTTTATGTTATTGCACCACTTACTTAATCTTGGCCTCAAACGTCCTATGTTCTTGCTCCTCATGGTTCCTAGTCTCCAGCTGGATCTCCTTAATGGCTCTTTCAATCTCCTTGTCCCTCTGTCGTTTAAGTCTTTCTCGCAGCTCCCTCTCAGCTAACATGCGAGCCTCACTGTGTTCTTTCATAAACTGCTCCCGCCACTCGCATCGATTTTTTTCATCTTTCTGACGAAGTGTAGCTATATCGTCCTACGAAAAAATAATTATTTACTGAAACATGTTGATGTTTATTAGGGCAATCAAAGGAGGTAATTCTAGTATGCTATAGTATGGCTTTAAGTGAAACAAAGCTGAAGGGGGTGGGAGAGTTTCAGTGGAGAGGAATAAATGGGATTAGGTCAGGGGTTTCAAATAGTTAGAGCTAAAGAAGGAGTAGCAATAATGTTGAAGGATAAGCTATGGCAGGAAAAGAGGGACTATAAATGTATTAATTCAAGGATTATGTGGAGTAAAATAAAGGTTGGATGTGAAAAGTGGGTTATAGTAAGTGTATATGCACCTGGAGAAGAGAGAAGTGTAGAGGAGAGAGAGAGATTTTGGGAAATGTTGAGTGAATGCGTGGGGAGTTTTGAACCAAGTGTGAGAGTACTTGTAGTTGGGGATTTCAATGCTAAAGTGGGTAAAAATGTTGTGGAGGGAGTAGCAGGTAAATTTGGGGTGTCAGGGGTAAATGAAAATAGGAAGCCTTTAATTGAGCTATGTGTAGAAAGAGATTTGGTAATAAGTAATACATATTTTATGAAAAAGAGGATAAATAAATATACTACAAGGTGTGATATAGCATGTAATGAAAGTAGTTTATTAGATTATGTATTGGTGGAGGGGCAACTGATATATCAGATCATTATTTAGTTGTAGCTACAGTTAGAGTAAGAGGTAGATGGGACAAGAGGAAAATGACAACAACAAGTATGAGGGAGGTAAAAGTGTATAAACTAAGGGAGGAGAAAGTTCGGGTGAGATATAAACAACTATTGGCAGAAAGGTGGGTTGGTGTAAGTATGAGTAGTGGGGGGGGGGGGGGTTGAAGAGGGTTGGAATAGTTTTAAAAATGCAGTATAAGAATGTGGGACAGAAGTTTGTGGTTATAGGAGGGTGGGTGCAGGAGGAAAGAGGAGTGATTGGTGGAATGAAGTCAAGGATGTGATAAGAGAAAAAGGTAGCTCATGAGAGGTTTTTACAAAGCAGGAATGTTATACGAAGAATAGAGTATATGGAGAGTAAAAGAAAGGTGAAGAAAGCGGTGAGAGAGTGCAAAAGGAGAGCAGATGATAGAGTGGGAGAGGCACTGTCAAGAAATTTTAATGAAAATAAGAAAAAAATTTGGAGCGAGTTAAACAAGTTAAGAAAGCCTAGGGAACAAATGGATATGTCAGTTAAAAACAGAGTAGGGGAGTTAGCAGATAGAGAGATGGAGTCACTGGGTAGATGGCGAAAATATTTTGAGGAACTATTAAATGTCGATGAAGGGAGGCAGTAATTTCATGCACTGACCAGGGAGGTATACCATTTTGTAGGAGTGAAGAAGAGCAGGATGTGAGTGTAGGGGAGGTGTGTGAGGCATTATGTAGAATGAAAGGGGGTAAAGCAGCTGGAACTGACGAGATTATGACAAATGTTAAAAGCAGGGGGGGATATAGTGTTGGAGTGGTTGGTACTTTTGTTTAATAAATGTATGAAAGAGGGGAAGGTACCTAGGGATTGGCAGAGAGCATGTATAGTCCCTTTATATAAAGGGAAGGGAGACAAAAGAGATTGTAAAAATTATAAAGGAATAAGTTTACTGAGTATACCAGGAAAAGTGTACAGTAGTTATTATTGAAAGAATTAGAGGCAAGACAGAATGTAGGATTGCAGATGAGCAAGGAGGTTTTAGAGTGGGTAGAGGATGTGTAGATCAAGTGTTTACATTGAAGCATACATGTGAACAGTATTTAGATAAATGAAGGGAAGTTTTTTATACGTAGTAGGTTGGTAGACAGCAACCACCCAGGGAGGTACTACCATCCTGCCAAGTGAGTGTAAAACGAAAGCCTGTAATTGTTTTACATGATGGTAGGATTGCTGGTGTCCTTTTTTCTGTCTCATGAACATGCAAGATTTCAGGTACGTCTTGCTACTTCTACTTACACTTAGGTCACACTACACATACATGTATAAGCATATATATACACACCCCTCTGGGTTTTCTTCTATTTTCTTTCTAGTTCTTGTTCTTGTTTATTTCCTCTTATCTCCATGGGGAAGTGGAACAGAATTCTTCCTCCGTAAGCCATGCGTGTTGTAAAAGGCAACTAAAATGCCGGGAGCATGGGGCTAGTAACCCCTTCTCCTGTATATATTACTAAATGTAAAAGGAGAAACTTTCGTTCTTTCTTTTGCACCACCCCACCTCAGTGGGATACGGCCGATGTGTTGAGAGAGAGGGAAGTTTTTATTGCATTTATGGATTTAGTAAAGGCATATGATAGAGTGGACAGGGAAGCAATTTGGCAGATGTTACAAGTATATCTAATAGGTGGTAAGTTACTAATGCTGTGAAGAGTTTTTATATGGGTGTGAAGCTTGCGTTGTGAATGCAGCAGCGAGGAGGCGGTTGGAGGCAGTGGAGATGTCCTAAGGGCAATGTGTGGTGTAAATATTATGCAGAAAATTCGGAGTGTGGAAATTGTCATGTGGGGTTCGAAACGTGGATAGGGGTAAGAACACTCACATATGCTGGTTAGTACGTATAATTATAACGGAAAGTATGGGAAGCACCATCAGCCGCCTGCCTCTCTGCTCTCTATCTTAAGACTGACCCACCAGTGTCTAGGGGGTGAGCGGCGTTCAAAAACACGCTATGGTTACCTGGAGTTTACCTGGAGAGAGTTCCGGGGGTCAACGCCCCCGCGGCCTGGTCTGTGACCAGGCCTCCTGGTGGATCAGAGCCTGATCAACCAGGCTGTTGCTGCTGGCTGCACGCAAACCAACGTACGAGCCACAGCCCGGCTGATCAGGAACTGACTTTAGGTGCTTGTCCAGTGCCAGCTTGAAGACTGCCAGGGGTCTGTTGGTAATCCCCCTTATGTGTGCTGGGAGGCAGTTGAACAGTCTCGGGCCCCTGACACTTATTGTATGGTCTCTTAACGTGCTAGTGACACCCCTGCTTTTCATTGGAGGGATGGTGCATCGCCTGCCAAGTCTTTTGCTTTCGTAGTGAGTGATTTTCGTGTGCAAGTTCGGTACTAGTCCCTCTAGGATTTTCCAGGTGTATATAATCATGTATCTCTCCCTCCTGCATTCCAGGGAATACAGGTTTAGGAACCTCAAGTTCTCCCAGTAATTGAGGTGTTTTATCTCCGTTATGTGCGCCGTGAAAGTTCTCTGTACATTTTCTAGGTCGGCAATTTCACCTGCCTTGAAAGGTGCTGTTAGTGTGCAGCAATACTCCAGCCTAGATAGAACAAGTGACCTGAAGAGTGTCATCATGGGCTTGGCCTCCCTAGTTTTGAAGGTTCTCATTATCCATCCTGTCATTTTTCTAGCAGATGCGATTGATACAATGTTATGGTCCTTGAAGGCGAGATCCTCCGACATGATCACTCCCAGGTCTTTGACGTTGGTGTTTCGCTCTATTTTGTGGCCAGAATTTGTTTTGTATTCTGATGAAGATTTAATTTCCTCATGTTTACCATATCTGAGTAATTGAAATTTCTCATCGTTGAACTTCATATTGTTTTCTGCAGCCCACTGAAAGATTTGGTTGATGTCCGCCTGGAGCCTTGCAGTGTCTGCAATGGAAGACACTGTCATGCAGATTCGGGTGTCATCTGCAAAGGAAGACACGGTGCTGTGGCTGACATCCTTGTCTATGTCGGATATGAGGATGAGGAACAAGATGGGAGCGAGTACTGTGCCTTGTGGAACAGAGCTTTTCACCGTAGCTGCCTCGGACTTTACTCTGTTGACGACTACTCTCTGTGTTCTGTTAGTGAGGAAATTATAGATCCATCGACCGACTTTTCCTGTTATTCCTTTAGCACGCATTTTGTGCGCTATTACGCCATGGTCACACTTGTCGAAGGCTTTTGCAAAGTCTGTATATATTACATCTGCATTCTTTTTGTCTTCTAGTGCATTTAGGACCTTGTTGTAGTGATCCAATAGTTGAGACAGACAGGAGCGACCTGTTCTAAACCCATGTTGCCCTGGGTTGTGTAACTGATGGGTTTCTAGATGGGTGGTGATCTTGCTTCTTAGGACCCTTTCAAAGATTTTTTTGATATGGGATGTTAGTGCTATTGGTCTGTAGTTCTTTGCTGTTGCTTTACTGCCCCCTTTGTGGAGTGGGGCTATGTCTGTTGTTTTTAGTAACTGTGGGACGACCCCCGTGTCCATGCTCCCTCTCCATAGGATGGAAAAGGCTCGTGATAGGGGCTTCTTGCAGTTCTTGATGAACACAGAGTTCCATGAGTCTGGCCCTGGGGCAGAGTGCATGGGCATGTCATTTATCGCCTGTTCGAAGTCATTTGGCGTCAGGATAACATCGGATAGGCTTGTGTTAATCAAATTTTGTGGCTCTCTCATAAAAAATTCATTTTGATCTTCGACTCTCAGTCTGGTTAGCGGCTTGCTAAAAACTGAGTCATATTGGGACTTGAGTAGCTCACTCATTTCCTTGCTGTCATCTGTGTAGGACCCATCTTGTTTAAGTAGGGGCCCAATACTGGACGTTGTTCTCGATTTTGATTTGGCATAGGAGAAGAAATACTTTGGGTTTCTTTTGATTTCATTTATGGCTTTTAGTTCTTCCCGCGATTCCTGACTCCTAAAGGATTCTTTTAGCTTAAGTTTGATGCTTGCTATTTCTCTGACCAGTGTCTCCCTACGCATTTCAGATATATTGACCTCTTTTAGCCGCTCTGTTATTCTTTTCCGTCGCCTGTAAAGGGAGCGCCTGTCTCTTTCTATTTTACATCTACTCCTCCTTTTTCTTAGAGGAATAAGCCTTGTGCATACATCGAGTGCCACCGAGTTAATCTGTTCTAGGCATATGTTGGGGTCTGTGTTGCTTAGTATATCTTCCCAGCTTATATCGGTTAGGACTTGGTTTACTTGGTCCCACTTTATGTTTTTGTTATTGAAGTTGAATTTGGTGAATGCTCCCTCGTGACTAGTCTCATTATGTCGGTCTGGGGCTCCACGCA